CTCTGTTGCTTTGAGCTGCCCTTGTGAATTGGAGAGGTAGCATTTGAGTAGGTGACTTTGGATGGGCAGGTGATGAGGCTCTAGGCTGACCTTCTACACCATAATTTCATCCTGAAGCTTTTCATTTGGTAATAGGTGATGAGCTAGACTGTTATTCAGGTCAGTCATCTGTGTGTCTTAAGTCTTGCTTCAACAGGACTCCTTATTTTTGCTTTTAGGAGAAAAAGGTGCTTAGAGGCTGCCTGCACACCCCCATTTCAGTGCTGTAGTTGAAACGACAGCAATTGTAGAAGCACAGATGCTCTTTCAGCAAAGCATGCCAGAGCTGAACATGAACTCGCGTGTTGATACAGGCCTTAGAGCTTCATCCTCCCTAGGAGGAAAGGAAATGTGATACCAAGGTGTTAGCACTGCACTACCTGTTAGTCACCCTCACTTGTTAACTATGCTTCATGGGGAGGCAATTCCATCTGATAAGTCTAGTTTGTTTTATTCTCTGCAAATCCCATACCTTTAGTTCTAGGCTGAGTTTTTTGGTTTGTTTTTTTGAGGGTTGTGAAAGGCTACTGGGGAAACCGAACCTTCAGTCAGCAGAAGGACTGAAAAGTGTTCTCTTTTTATCTCCCCCTCTTTCAGGCACAGTACCTATTCCCAGAATTTCTCAATACCTGTACTTCCTCTTTGCTCCCACCCTCATCTACAGAGACAACTATCCCAGGTAATGTGAGCAACACTAATAGAACATTAAAGTAGTCTAAAAACTGAAGCCAACATTGAGCATCCCCGAATGTGATCTATTCAATTTATGAGTTAGTGCTTTAATAAAGATGTGGTTAAGTCAGTAACCTGGCAAGAACAGGACTTGGTCATGAAAACTCACTCTAATGCTAATAGTATTTTGACTTTATAGTTCTGGTTTTATTTCTTTGGTAAGTGCACTTGAAGGGAAACAAATTAAGACCTTGCTACTGGATATCTAGTGACGCACAGTTCCTGCAGTAGACTTGTGTATTGTTTTATGTGGTGTTAATAAGCAGCCCTGTCTCTTGAGCTTGAGGAGGGTAGGCTGAAGCCTTTCAAGCTGGGAACTCCTAAACGGTCCTGTACTTTGCTGGGTTGCACTTTGACAGTGTCAGGTCAGCAGTCCTTTACATGACTTTCGGGCAGATCGCTGCCTCCTACGTAATTGCATAATGCTGCCCTCGAGATAGTTTTCCATTTGTGGAATTGCCATAGCTGTCTTGCTGTAGTTGAAAGCGAGGAACCAGCAGTTTGGGCATCTCTTGTTGAATGTCAAGAGATAAGAACTTGAATTCAAAACCAGGCTTTTTTTCAGAATATAGGTCAGTAGCATCAATAATTGCAGGGAGATTTTTTGCTCTGAGGTCCTATTTAGATATCATATCATGCATTCTTTTTTCCTAGGAATCCTGTGATAAGATGGGGCTATGTAGCTACCAAGTTTGCACAGGTGAGTAGTGTGGCTTTCTGAAGAATATGCTTTTGGAGGTCATCTAAACTGTGTTGCTGAACAGTTCTCCCTTTGGCATTAAATTGCTGTTTACATAGTGTGGGCTCATGTCCTAGTTTTGGCTGGGATAAAGTCAATTTTCTTCCTAGTAGCTGGCATAGTGCTGTGTTTTGGATTTAGTATGAGAAGAATGTTGATACCATACTGATGTTTTAGTTGTTGCTAAGCAGTGCTTACACCAGTCAAGGACTTTTCAGCTTTCCCTGCTCTGCCAGGTGCACAGGAAGCTGGGAGGGGGCACAGCTGACCCCAACTACCCAAAGGGGTATTCCATACCATGCTGGGGGGGAGAGAGATCGCTGCTTGGGACAGGGTGGGCATTGGTCAGCAGGTGGTGAGAAATGGCATTGTGCATCACTTGTTTTGTATGTTATATATATTCTCTTACTGTTGTTGTTCTTTCCCTCTGCTGTTTTATTAAACTGTCTTTATCTCAACCCACGGGTTTTCCTTTTTACCCTGATTCTCTCCCCCATCCCACTCAGGGAGGGGGGAAGTGAGCGAGCAGCTTTGTGGTGTTCAGCTGCCTGCCAGGTTAAACCACAACAGCTTACTGGAAAATAGTACTTTTTAGTGATTAAAAAAAGTGATCTTGCTGCATTAATGGTTGTGTCAATAAAAAAAAAAAAAATTCTTGCTTAAATAAACCTTTAGACTCCATTTTGTATAAACAAATGTGTGTGGAGCATGCATGTGTGTGGAGCAATATCCATTCTCTGGCCTTCTTTCTTTACACTGATGTTCTGTTATAATGCACTGGCACAGCTACCTGTCTCTAGATATTTAGACTAATTTTGAAATAATGAGGCCTGGAGTCCAAGTCTTAAGGGCTTATTTGAGCTCAAGGCTGACCTCATCTTCACACCTGTCTGGACATGAGCTTCAATAGCTTCTTGTGGATGTGTTTCCAAGTAATGGCTTTGTTTGCGTGATTGAAACTTACTGTCACACAATGCATTCAAGTTTAAAAAAAAAAAAACCAAAAAACCACAGCAAACAAAAGACAAAGCATGAAAAGGCCTTTGGCCGATTGCTCTTTGACAAAAGAGGGTGGCAAAGCACACACCTGGCTTACAGTGGTCAGAGTATTTAAAGCAGTGGATTGCATTTTGACCTCAACTTCCAGAACTTGGGTTCACGAGGCAGAGAAAGGCTGAGGTGATTTAGCCTGTAAACATCTCCTTTGGGATGAAATAAAAGTAAACTTTAATGCTAGATTTAACTACAGTAAGTATTCTTCAGTTATTCCTGCCCTTGTCTTGGACCTAGATCACAGGGTACTTTCCCCACTTGCTTTGGCATTGGCACAAATCTTCTGTGTCGTGACTTCTCAGTTGATAGGACTAGGAGAAACTTACAGCTGCTGTAGTGGAAAAGACAAGTTGATTTTGCTCCTGGCTGTCAATGTGCTAGAGGTGGCTGTGGCTTATTTTCTGCCTGGAGCCTTAGGGAAGTTCATTAGCAGCAATGCAAAATAAATTATTTTGACTTGTGTTGGCAGCTGCTGTTCCTTTCCTGGAGTTGTCAAGTGGTGATGTGTTAATTGTGCATTTCTCGTGCGGAGTCAGACTTTTTTTTTTTTGTTCCAGGTGCTTGGTTCACTTTTCTATGCTTACTACATCTTTGTGAGACTCTGCATTCCTCAGTTCCGCAACAGTAGTCAAGAAACCTTCAGTCTTCGAGGGCTGGTCCTCTGCATCTTCAATTCCATTCTGCCAGGTAAGACCTGGATTCAAAAGTGACTATATCTTTATGGAAGAGGTAGAAGGGAGGGGAAATACTTCATATGAGACGCATTCATGATAGGCAAAGATCAGCAGAGGAGGTCTTGTGGGCAGACTTCAGTGTTACGGTGTTAAACTTTAGAGTCAGCAGCACAAAATAAAAGCTTGGGGTTTAATTTAGTTGTCTTCAAAGCCAAGTTCTAGGCTCTCTGGCAACCTTGCTGTTGCCCTCTGGGGTAACCATGACCTGGTGTGGTGAGAAACGAAAATACTTTTACATTTTTGTATAGGTAGTACAAAGCTCATGGGTGTCAGTGCCTATAAGAACAGTCTTGGCTGCATTACATGTTCTTGCTTATAGCTGAGAGAAAACACTACAAAACTGGACTGAATCTACCTTGTTTCTAGGTGTACTGATTCTCTTCCTGGCTTTCTTTGCGTTCCTTCACTGTTGGCTTAACGCATTTGCTGAGATGCTGCGCTTTGCAGATCGGATGTTCTACAAGGTGAGAAGCAGGAGTTGTAGTTTATAAAGCAAGTGTTATAAAGCTTCTAAAATTTATTTTCCTAGGAAAAAGGAGGAAATTAAAGGTTGTTTTACTATACAAAGCATCTACAGGGTTTTGCTTGGTTTATGCCATTAGGGCTTAAGCTTGCTGTGCTGTAGAACAAGCTTCTACTTGGCAGTCTGAATTGGTTTTAAGGTAATATACCCTGTGTACAAACAGAACCGGCCACCAGACCTACCCAATAGCTCTGTTACCACTCCTTCTATTATTTTATCATCTTAGCCACTGCAGTTTGGAATAAAACCAAACTTTGCATAGAGTAGAATATGGAAAGTGCAGTGGAATGCATTATTTCATGGTGTCACTTGTTATATTAGCTCGGTATTATTCTGGTTGGTATTTCTCAACTTGGTGTCTAACAGACCTGTAGAATGTTTTATGCTTAATTAGATTTATAATCTTTCAACTGTACTTTTAGGACTGGTGGAACTCCACTTCCTATGCAAACTACTACCGAACCTGGAATGTGGTAGTACATGACTGGCTTTATTATTATGCCTACAGGGACTTCCTTTGGGTGAGTAACAAGCAGATGTATTCTTTTTGTTGATTAAACATTTAATGACCGAGCAAGACAGTACTTTTGTCAAGACGCAGCGTCACTGTCCATTGAGAAGTACAAAAATATCTTGCCTCAGCTGTTGTGGGTAGCCACTGTGCTCTTCAGAGATCCATTGCTCGTTTGCAAGTCCTGAATGTGTCCAAAATGTGGGTCTGAGACATAAGAGTGTAAGGATTGACTCAACAGTTTGAACTCATGTTGCCCTATTTTGATGGGCTATGGTAGATATTTCATGAGCAGACTGAACCTGAGTACTTATGCAGGAGACCAGATATATGACTGAAAAACAGCTAAAATCCAAGGTACTCCGTAAAGCACTTAGCATTTCATGTATGCCTCTTGGCTGGACGAGGCCCTTCTTAGATCAGGTTAAAAAAAAAAAAAAAAAGTTGAAACAACAAAACTAAAACCACAGTAGAATAGCTTATAATACTTTCTATTCTCTCTTCCAGTTTTTTGGTAAGAAGTTCAAAGCAGCAGCTATGTTGTCTGTCTTCACAGTATCAGCTGCTGTGCACGAATATGTTCTGATCATTTGCTTCGGCTTCTTCTATCCAGTACTCTTTTGCCTGTTTATGTGCTTTGGAAGTAAGTTCCCAGGAGAGAGTATGTGAGTGGGTTGTGGGTTTTGTGGCGCCTTCTTTTTAAACAAGTATGCTTTGCCCTTCTGATAATGACAGTTATTCTTTAGGCACTAACACACAGAACTGTTTCTTGTCCAAGAGTTGCAATTGGGGGTCCAAACTTTGCAAATGGATTTTTGCAGCTAAGTAGCTCAGTAAATGTATAGCTAGATATGCACAAACACACTGGGTTTGCAAGCTTGGGACTTAGATGAGCAAGGTATTGATGGAGAGGAAGAGCTATATATGATACCCTGCTGTTCATGTGACACTGTACATATTTTAATAGCACTGCTTCCCCTTTGCCAAGTCTCAGTTGAACTGCTGTATGTCAGCAGGTTGGAAGTCTTCCTCTTTAAAGTCGTAGCATAAGACAAGTATTACTTTGCTACTGCAGCGAGTAAGAAATCCCATTTAGAAGTTAGAGCTCTTGCATTTAATTTGGGGTTCTGAGTTAGAATGAGTTAGAGGACTCTAATAAACTCTAGGCCACCTCTGCCAGGATGTCTTGGTCATCAGTGTAACACAAATGATACTGATCCCCAGAGGCGTACAGCTGGGCCAGCTTGTTGGCAAACATACTGGAAGTAAATGTCAGAATCAACTCATGGTACTTGTTCTATTGCCAAGCATAATCAGATTTTCTTGTGCTATGCTGACCTCATGGAGCAGGTCTGTTGCTCCAGAGATTAAGTGAAGGGAGGAAAAAGATCCAGTGAAATCAGCTGGTCTTTGATTCTTTAATCTCGAGTTTGTTTCTGAGTGGTGCTTCTCGTTTCACCTCTTTTCAGTGGTCTTCAACTTCATCCTTAATGACCGTCGGAAAGGGCCTATCTGGAATGTGATCATGTGGACATCCCTCTTCCTGGGCCAAGGTGTCATCATTTGCCTTTATAGCCAGGAGTGGTACGCCCGCCAGTACTGCCCTATGGAAAATGTGAGTGACTGGCGTTTCCTGTGAGATAACTGATCATGCAAGTCGCATCTCCGTCCTTGCCGTGGGGATGTAGCAGATGTTAAGAGGCATGAGCCTTTCTGGCAGTGTGCTGTTCGTTAGGAGTTACTCAGTCTAGAACGCGTAGAGAATCTAGGAAAGCTTTTTCCTAACAAAAGTGCTTTCATTAGTGCTCTTTCTATGCTGATGGTATTTCACTACTTGAGACTGAGGGTGTTCTTCCCACATCTGAGGATGTAAGCCACTACTGTGGAGTACGCTAGGCCATTCAGGCTGTGTGAATGGAACTGCAGCACTTGGCCAATGAGGTCAGGAGAAACTCTTCTAGGAGGCCCACAAAAACGGAGCCTATTATGCCTCTCCCAGGCTAGAGTGGCAGTGAGAACTGGTTTGCTATAAATGGTCAGTTTGGGGTTTTGTTGATGTTACTTTCTCTGACTTATGACCCATTTTCTTGGTATCAGATTTTGTTCTACATAAAACTTGCTGCGCTAGTTGATTTCAGCTTTAACCAAAGGTATCCTCAGGCAAACTCTATTTTAACTTTGGTTCTTCTCAGTTAAGAGTTTGCCATTGTAAATGACTGGCTGCTTGTTACAATACGCTACTAGACACAGCATTAGCTTATGCGTCAGAACTAGGGTTAAGGCAGATGGCAGGCAAACAGCTTGCTGTGACTGTAGCTGCACTTCCACACATTGTTCAGTGAAGATAAGAATAAGGTTGCAGGATGTGAAAATGCGGTTTGATCTTTCCTGTTAGGGAAGTTTGACTAAAGCAGACCACACCACAGCTGGTGCTGTTGGCCTGTGACTAACTTCTGCCTCTCCATGTTCTGCAGCCCACGTTCCTGGACTACTTAAAACCACGTTCCTGGTCGTGTCACATGAAGATGTAAAAAGTATGCTCTGGCCGTGTCATCGTCACAGAAGATCAGAGTTGTCCTCCAAGAATTTGGACCAATGACCTAACTTACTATGGACTTTTTCCAAGGGAAGTTGTGCCTCCTGATTATTGGGGAGAAACTGTAATTTTTTTAATATTACTGAGGCAAACCAGTTGACCTGGATTGCTACAGGCTTCACAGGCAGCATCTGCTACATGCTGTCCTACTTCGAGCCATTTCCATGCCAGCAAAACATTGAGCAAAGGTCGAGTCTGCTGGAATCCTACTCATCCAGGGGTACCCCAAGTTGCTGCTCTTCCGGACGATAGTCAGTCCAGTCAGATTTGCTAGTAGCTTACTGCTGGCGTCCGTCCATCTTCCTTAGCCACCCTGTTGCAATTTTTTTTTTCTCCCTTTTGGGAATGGGATGTCTACCAAACTTCTGTTCTTTGTGATCCTGTCTGCTGCTATGACATGGACAAGTGGCAGTGCAACCAGGATATTTGCCTCCTTGCTCTGAAAATAGCCAAAGTATTCCTGGATGGCTTTGGACTGCTTTCTATGTATGCTGGCTGCCTAGTATTTTAAAATGGGCAGGGAGAAAGGGGATTGTCAATTTACTTGTGGCTGCATTGGAGAATCAGGTTCAGAAGCAGGGCACGGTGTGTGCAGTCTTTATATGACTTTTTACACTGAAAATTTATGTTCTTTCTGTATTCACTAAGTTCCCAGCTGACTTACAGCATTTTTGTTCCCTGAAGGCCCTTGTGACTTCAGGAATAGTTTTGTTCCTTGTAGCTCTTCCTTTCTCTTGCTCCAGATAATCAATTCTTTTAGCACAATTAACTTGTAAAAAAGCTTTTTGCTTTAATTTGGCAGGTGCTTTAAGGTATGCGAGTTGTTAAGGCTTTCTCTAGTGTGAAGGATTTGAAATGCTACCACCCAACTGTAAGAAAATGCAATTGACTTTACAGGTACTCGGCACATTCTCATCCAAAATGGCTACATCCGGTTCAAGATGCCAGCACATTTTGGTGCCTCTCGCCCATGTGCATTGTAGGGGCTTCTGACGCTGTTGGTGGGAAATGAGGGTTGACAAAGTGGCTGGAGTCAGAGCTGCCTGTGTCTGCTCTGATGTCAGTGGCATCTTCAGGTGAAGATCAGTTCCCCAGGTGTTGCCCTCTTCTTTCTGAAGAGGTAGGGCATCCACCCATACACACTGTTAAAGGGAGAAGCATTATGCGAATTTGGTATTTCAATATCTACTAATTAGGCAGAGTCCCTTCAGTTTCCTTGTTCTGTCAGATGCTAAGTCCAAAAGGGAACTTTTACATAGTCTCGGGGTACGTATCTCTCCTGTTCTACTGGAACTGCAGCTCCCATTATTGGAGAGGGAGGGCAGCCTGATAGAGGTACGTTAACTTTGGTCGCAGGGATTTCTGAACTACTCAAATGCTCTTTATTGGCACTTTTTGGTAACAGCTTTTCCTTACTGGCCTACAAGCCTAAGTATTTGATACCAGTGGTATTGGGACTGTTGATGGACTTGTCTCCCAATCCGCTTAAGACTATCTTTTGGGCTTCTGTTTTTTTACTAACCTGAGTCAACAGTAATTTCATGAAAGCCAGGTGATACCTAAACTCTTCCAAGTTTTCAGTTTTCTGTAAGAAGGAATCCTGCACTTCAGAAAGGACATTGTGTCCGGTCAAATTTGCCAAACGCAGAGTCTGCGTATGTGGCTCTCCTCTGAAAATACCTCCTCCTGGAACTTGTTTGTTGAAACGGTTGGGTTAATTTCAGAGGAAGGGGTTCATGTATATACTCAAACTTGGCAGTGTTAGTATATAAAATCCTGAGAATGAAATGGGTTGCTTTATCCGCATTCAGTTTGACTAATCCTAAATCATTCACAATACGTTTTGTGGGAGGAAGGGACAGAAGTGCTGGAGCAACTAAGCTTCCTTTTTGGGGGGGGGGGAAAAAATCACAAACGAAAAATCCTCACCCTTTGGCCAAATAGCTTCATCACCTCCTTACTATAGGATGAAATTCAGTCCAGTACTCTTTAGTTGTGGTGCTCGAAACACGTACAGACATAACTGCACTCTAATGGGGTGTGATGGATTAGGGACTCGATTTGTCGTCTTGATGCCTGTGTCAGGTCTTGTCTCGGTGTTCTCGAAAGGAGATAAAATCATGGCACTTTGTGCCAGGTTTTGGTCTTTCTGTCGTGGCTGGCACTGTTGTATTCCTGATAAAGAAAACCAGCATTTACTGTGGCAGTGTCCTCAGTGTTTGAAGCCTGAGGGCTTGAACACCTGGTAAGCAAAAGGCAACCAGAAAGGGATGCTCAGCTGTAGGCCTTTTGACAGGCCGAGGTTTTTAGCCTTGTCAGGGCATTAACAATTTGGACTACTTTCAATTTCATGCTGGTTTTTTTTTTTAAATTGCTTTTGAATGTGGGCTTACTGTTATTTTTCTCAAGGGTACTGGAGGGGAAGTGCTAAGTCTTTTGCACATTGCTTGTTTAATTAGAGTTAATTATATCATGTTTTGTTTGAGTTTTGTTGGGCTGTGCGTGCAAGAGCTAGCAGTATGGTATTCTGGCCAATAATGAGGATGCTGAGGTTCACAACCTGCCTTTTACAAGTTCTTAATGACAGTGTATACTGTTTTCTGTGGTTCCTTCCAACTCCAGGGCTGTGTGGCTTGCTTCCATGGTAACTCCCTCAATTCTGAGGTGGGAAGCCTCCAGCTTTTGAATGGCAGCCAGTACAGCTGCAGCTCCTTGCTCAATAGCATCACAAAAATCAGTATTAATATGGTGAAACCTGTCCCTGTTTTCAGGCAGATAATGGTTGGTGCTCAGGAAGACTGAACCTGTGCAGAGCCTTCCTGCCGAGTACATCCTTTCTGTTGGGGTATTTGGCCTCCAGCAGCGAAGCAGTCCTGTGTCTGAGCCGCTGACTGTACGCTGCCCCGTGACGGCGCCTGCGTAAGGCACGGGCTACGTGCTGCCGTGGGAGGCTGAGGGGGGAAACCCTGACGTGGGTTTTTTGGTTTTTTTTTTAATACGCAATGGCATGGTTGATGTGGATCGGTCTACCCGCTAAAGGAAAACTTGAACTCTTTGAGCTCCCACCTCCTGAATGTGGATGGGCTGGAAGGACGGCGGAGCAGCCTGAGCTGCGAGCAGCCGAGTTCAGCCTCCTCTCTTCTCCCCCTGCGCCCAGCCGGGGCCGAGCAGCCGTCGCTGCGGTGGCAGGGGCAGAGGACGTCCCAGCAGCCGCCGCACGCTGCTATGTGCCCTGGCACTGGTGGTTCCATGTAGGCAACCTGTACTGTGTTCTGTCACGCGGAAGAGCTGTTTATAATCTACTGTATTACAGCAGTTGAAATATATTTTGCTATTAGGGGAAGGAAAAAAAAAAATCGCCTTGGCCTGTTTCTTTCTTCTCTGAGGTTCCTGATTTGGATTGGGGAGCAAGGGTAAGATATGTGTGGGGTTGCTCTCCTGGGAAGGTGGCTGCTGTGGGGAGATGAGGGTCAGAGCCTTGTGGGGCTGGGGAGGAGGGAGGGAGGTGGGAGGGCCCCTTCTGGAACTATGGAAGAGCCCTGTGTTTCCATGGCAATGGAGCCAGGGAGGAGCTGCCCAGCAGGTGAGGCTGGGTGGCTATGGGGCTCCTCTGGGAGAGGGGAGCTGGCTACCTCGGGGGCCTGGGGGCTGTGAGCTGGTGGGTGGGGGGTGCCTCAAGACCAGCGTGCCCACAGCCCCAGGGAGTCCCTGGCCTAGCGGCTGCCCAGCCCTCCTGGATGGGAGCTGTGAGGCTGCCCCTACCCTGGGAGAGGGGTGGGGAGAATCATGCCAGGGCAGGCCTGGGCCTGGAGGTGCCAGGCAAGGCCACCGGAGGGTAGGGAGGAGATCTCCTTGGCGGGGTGCGTAGGAAGAAGCTTTTACGTGAGCACTTCAGGTCCTAAAAAGCAGCAGGAAATGTCAGAGCTGAACACCAGCCAAGAGGGATGGTTGGGGGTTTATAAGCTGCATATCGGCCATTGCATCTCTGCAAGAGGAAAGGATGCCCTGGGAAGTGCTGGAGAAGAGCGTGGGGAAGGAGTCGAGAGCTCCTGGAACAGACCAGAGTTTCTAACCTCTCCCGATTTAATGCATATTAAATTGGAGCAACTGCCAAATGTATTATCATGTTGGCCATTGCTGCCTTGCCTTCACATCTGAAAAGGGTTTGTGTGTCCAAGAACTTAATGGGATATTTTCCAGCTGCGTACTGCACGCTCTGGAGTCGGGCCTTGTCTGTGTCCTTAAACTGTAGCTGCCACAGAACGGTGTCATTAATCTTCCCATCCTTTCTGGTGGGAATATTGTGTGCTGCCAGACCTGCTAAAGGGGGAAAAACACCCAGTTCTGTCAGAAGTTTTTAGCAAATTTTTGCGTTGTCTTTCCAAGAAACCATTAACGCAGCAAGACTAGAAACGAGCAAGATTACTCCTAGATTATGCCCACACCCACAAACACGTATCTGAAGGCAAAGAAGTGTAGTTACCCTAATTAGAAACCACAGTACACGAGGATACAGCTGATAAGGAGGTCAAAAAGTTTAATAAAGCATTTATAAAGAACAATCTATCTTGGGCAAGGCTGGGGGGGGAAGGGCTTCAGAAGAGAATTCATAGGCTTCAGGAAACTAATGGAAATAATTTTTTTTTTTCATTAATAAGATATTGCCGAGATGGAAAAGTGGGAAGATTAATAATTGGAGAAATTCAAATAGAATTAAATCTCTTGGCCTGTTAAATGTATAAAAGAAAATGTATAAAAGAAGCAGTTGTTCTTATTGCAGTTTGTAGATGGAAAAGCAAGTGCCCCTCTGGAGGAGGTAGCAAAGCATCAGGGGCTTCTTCCCGATGTACCTAGTGCGGAGTGTAAGGGGGTTTTCCCCAGTAAATAACCAAAAAAGCCCAGTTAACCCTGTGAAGTACAAATGTGGGTTTGATTCTGTTTCCAGGTTACTCGTTACTGTAAATTGCCCTGGCTAAGCATTAAAATAAAATAAGCATTCACCATGCCTGCAACTGGAGCACCTTTGGTTCCTGGACCAAAAAATGATGGAAAGAAACTGAGGGGTGCCTTGTGGGTCAGCGAGGACTGGTCAGGTAGGGCTGGGCTGGAGGCTACGGGGGTTGTACGTCTGTCTGTCTGCCTCTATCTTTCCAGCTTCCCTCTAACAGTGGAATGCTTCTCTGCGTTAAATTCTGCCTTTATTTGGGAAACTGCTGGTGTTTTAGGGTATTCATATCTTTGTAGAAAGGCGACTGCCAGCAATCCACAAGAAAGGAAGTGTTTTTTACAGAAACAGGCAAACTTTAGTTGTTTACAGCACCCCTTGGCCTTTGCGTACCTGATAGCTTGGGGCAGTCACCCGCCCAGTGCTTTATCCTCTGTCCTTAGAAGGTAACTCTTGTTCTAGGTTTCACTGAAGATCTAACAACCGCTAAAAATGGGATTAGCTGCCTGTGTTCTAGGTAGTTGATCATGCTTTGGGGTAAGGGATTAGATAGAGTCGATCCTGTTTTGGGGCAAGACATCTTGTTCTTCTCAGCCCTGTTATCGGTTTTCCTTTCTCTATCACTGGCAGAATAAATGCTGTTGAAATGGTTCTGATGTGCTATTTTCCAGAGATCCCCAAGCCGAGGGGTTCCTCAAGGATGCTTGACCGCATCAGGCCTGTTTCTTCCTCCCTGGAGCATAGTTTTGTTCCAGAAGAGGTTTTCCGAAGCCTGACCTGTGCCAGCAGTTCTCTCTACGGCCCAGAGAACTTACGGTCCCCGCAAACCACCAAAACCCCAACGGGCTTCAGGGTGAGCGTGTTTCTATCTCCTGCCTCCTTCTGTCCAGAATCGTCTCTTCGCTGGGGGCATGTGTTCATTCCCTGAGCAAAAGGGAAGTTCGCTGACCTTGTAAGATAAATTTACCTTATGCTGCACCGCTTTTCTGACGGTGCCATTCGATGCAGACCCGAAGCACTGCCTTCTAGTCCCTGCAAAATGTGCTTGTACCCTGGCACTGCTGTGAAGCCTTTGCCCAGGCTGTCTTGTCCACACCGGTTTCTTTAGCCCCAAGACAGAAATAACAACGCAGAGCTTGTTTAGACAAGCCCCCATGACCTCTCCCACTCCTTGGCACATTTCTCGCTAAGAAGTGACGGCCACGTGTGCCTTGTCTGCAGGGCTGCTGGCAAACCCCAGATCGGCTTTGGCATTATCCTAATCGTCGGAGCAAGTTCAGACACCTGACAGACCACCCTGTCAGTTTGACAGGCGCTGGAAGGTAAGCAAAGAAGGGATAAAGGAGCCCAGGGCGATGGAAAGATGTTAGAGCTGGGAATGGAGAGCTAGATCTCTTCCTTGGTCTTTTCTTATGGTGGGTGGCTGTGCTGCCTAATGTGGCTGGATGAGTGGACCAGCTGTCCCGACTGACTTCGGGCTGGAATGATTCAAGGGAATAATATATAAATGAGTTGCTAAATGAGCAGTTCTTGGAACCATCCTTTCCAAGGATGCCAGGCTCGCAGGGATGCTCTGTGATCCACGATTAAGAAAAGAAGCTCTTTTGGCTTTAATGGACTTAGCAGGGAATAGCTTTACGCTTCTTTGAAATAAGCAACACTTAACAGCACTAAGAAGTGAGAAGTTTTGCTCTTCATCGGACATTGGATATGTACGTGATAGGGTGTCGGCAGCAGATGTGAAAAATGGATAGGCAATACAAAGTTAATCTGCCTAAAAAACATGATCTCATCGGTCTGTTTTGGGCCTGGGGAGGGAGGCCTGGCTGTAAGCCTGGCTCAGACTGAGCAAAACAAACCCATGCATGGCTTAGGCTGGCAGTGAGGAAACGGTGGGTTGCCTGCGGGGTGGGTCAGCGAAGGAGCTCTTCCTCTCTGTTTCAGGGATGTCT